CGGTTAATCTCATTGCTAATACTGGACCACCATCCTTAAAAATCTCAGGAGTAAACCTGTCAGGGCCTGCTGCTCTCCCTCGTTTCAGATTTCCTATGGCTTTTTCAACTTCGTAAAAAGTCGGAGGACCTACATTAACTTGCCATTCAGGTTGACTAGAGATCGTGGGAAACCGAAGTGTGGCTGAAGGCCAGTTGAACTGATCCCTAAAGTGTTCTGCCCATCGATCCAATCTCCTGGATTGAGAATGAATAATATGTCCATCTTTCTCTGAGATTGTTTCGCTAACGGTCGGGTTCCTAATTCCGGTTTCCTTAACGAATCTAAACAATTGTCTGCTATTACCTATTGCCGCTGCCTTTTCCATCTCTCTTGCTTTCGCTACCCACCACTGTTCACGATCGTTGCGTAGGCTTCTGGTCAGCTTGCGCTTAAGCTGACTCCGCTCTTCATTATGTTCAGAGCCAGGTGGAATGAGTTTCCGAGCATCTATCAGTGAGATAGATGCTGCTGAGATCCAGTGTTGCTCCCTAACCTTCTGGTTTACCTTACTAGCAGATATCACTGCTGTTTCCACAGCTTTTCGGATATCATTCCATGCTGCATCGGGGTGGGCATCACATACATGGCTGCCTAACTGTTTTCCTAGTTGTTCCTGAAATATAATCTTAGCTTGACTATCATTAAGTAGGGCCCTCAGAGGTTTACATGCAGTGTCTTTTTTACGTCCAGTAAGACGCAGGCAAATACGCGCTCGTACTGGAGCATGATCTGGATCTAAGCATGTGCTCCAGAATGAGCGACAGTCTTCTATCGAGCCCCTCCATCGGTGGCTGATAGCGATGTGATCTATTTGGGTCCAACGTTGGGACGAATTAGGGGGTCTCCATGTTAAAAGATGTTTTTCCTTATGTTTAAAGTTAGTATTTGCAAGGAACAGGCGGTTATCTGAGCATAGCTGCAACAGACGGTCGCCATTATCTGTTCTTTGAGCCACGACACCATAGGATCCACCTAGGTGTCTTTCCTTATCGCTTAGTTTACCTACTTGAGCATTAAAGTCACCGGCCACTAATACTACATCCGAGCGCTTAGCTTTTCGGAGAAGGTCCGAAAGCTTTCTGTAAAACTCATCTTTTACATCATCTGAGCTGCAGTCAGTGGGAGAATAGGCAGAGACAACGAAGAGGCAACGACGAGTGTCCCTATCTTTCCGGATTCTTACTGTTCCGTTCAGTCGGACAGCGCACAAACGACTGTTTACCGGGATCCACTCTAAGAGAGCTAGTTCTGCCCTAGGACTCAATGCTATACCTACGCCGGCGAGGCCACGGGAAGCAGAATCAGGGCTTCCAGATACACGAAGCGTAAATCGAGTCGGTTCTTTATTTTGGCATGGTGAGGTCAAATGAATGACGCTAATTGGATCCTGTATGCGCGTTTCGGAGACGCAGCACACATCGATGGCGCGAGATTCTAAAGTTTTAGCTAATGAAGCCTGCTGTCCTATTTGGCAAAGTGTTCGTACGTTAAAAGCTCCTACGTGTAGTTTAGAGCGTGGTTTCAGGAGACAAGGAATAGCATTCCACGTACTCGAATCGTTTGCCCTAGCGGTGCGAGGTGATAAAGAGACGTGGGGAGGGTTAGTCGGGGAGATAAGAGAGGTATTAGGAGGTGTAGGAAAGATTTGAATGTGACCACCTTGGTCTCTTGTGCTGTTACGGGTATGAGGGCTGATATCACTTCCCGGCTGCCCACACCGTGGAAGGGTATTTCTTTAGGAACCTGAAAAGTAAATTGGATTAGTGTTGGTCTTGACGACCTGGGAGCGTGACCGCAGAGCCCAAGGGACAACTGCTTGAGGCCGGTCGCGCACGGCCTTTTTGTGGAAGATTTTTGACATGTTAGCTCCGTTCTTCAAAGGGCCTTACCGCCGGAGACGGAAATCCGTGAGGTAAGGTGAGGTGTGACATTTTTAGGGTCGACCTTTTCTAACCCCACCCCTCCTTGTGGGAAGGCAGCATCCCTGTCCTGCTGGATGTCCGAGGGAAACACCTTACTGCTGTCACACCCCTCTACAGTCAGCAGTACGACTTCGCCCTCAGACCTTGAGTTGCTGCTTTTAGTCTTACCGTTCACCAATCGACCTGCCTGGCATGGTAGAACCTGCAGGAACATATGTTCCAGCCAATATAGCTCGGTTGGGTCATCACGATAGGCAAGCCCGACCATCGCGTCAAGGTAGCAGCTTCGATCGGGACATTAACCTTATACAGGCTCTCTACTCGAACACAACTGGTAGAGTGAGAGCTTATGGCGAACTGTCATCAGAATTGATCACCTCAAGTGGTGTTCGTCAGGGCTGTCCACTCTCCCCATTCTTGTTCAACTTTGTCGTGGACGTACTTCTAGAGATAACACTTTCCTCATCTAGATTTCCAGGGGTTGAACTTCTACCGGGAGGTTCACTTGTTGACTTAGAATATGCAGATGACATAGTTTTATTTGGTGAAGACGCTGACAAAATGCAGAGTCTTCTGACCACTCTAAGCAACAATGCAAGCATGTTCGGGATGAGATTCTCTCCCTCGAAATGCAAAATGTTGCTTCAGGATTGGGTTACATCGACACCCGAACTAGTGATAGGGAGTGAAGTAGTTGAGTGTGTGACGAAATCTCAGCACGGATACAGAAGGCTCGACTAGCTTTTGCCAACTTGCGTCATTTATGGCGTAGGCGAGATATCCGTCTATCAACCAAAGGACGTGTTTACTGTGCAGCAGTTCGTTCCGTCCTACTTTATGGCAGTGAAACATGGCCGGTAAGAGTAGAGGATATCCGTAGGCTACTAGTATTTGATCATAGGTGTCTTCGAAACATTGCTCGGATATCATGGGACCATCGATTAAGTAACACAGTTGTTAGAAAACGGGTACTAGGTAAGGATGGCAAATCAATTGATGAAGTAGTGAAACTTCATCAGTTGAGATGGCTGGGACACGTGTTACGTATGCCCAACGACCGACTGCCTCGACGTGCTATGTTCAGTGGTATAGGAGTAGGTTGGAAGAAAGGTAGGGGCGGCCAAACCAAAACATGGCACAAGTCCATGAAGTCACTGACAAGTGAACTGAGTCATGTTGGTAGGTGTAGACTACCTGGTTGGGGACCGCGAGATGATAGCAACCGATGGTTAGAGACCCTGAATGACATGGCTCAAAATCGTTTGCAATGGCGCAGGTGCATCCACTCTCTGTGTTCTCCCAAATTCTAATCTTCTGAATTCTTCATGTCCCTTTTTTCCTCTTTCGAAATTTATTTCACTGGATTATACTCTATAAATAACATCTCCAAACCCTAATCTTCCCGATTACTGCTTATACTCTTATTACCTCTACCACTACGGGATTTGAATCGACAAGTGCATCTCTGTGCTAATGTGGTGTGGCAACTCGAACTGATGTACGTACGTACGAAGTTCTACGTTGTTACTGACTGACTGACTGACCACTAACGGTACTCAAACATAAAATCCCCACAATCACAAATCAGAAGGCAGGATAAGTGATTGTTGCGTAAAAACCAAAAATGTACAGAAAAATGCGTGTATTTATAATTATTAGTGTTGGCTATAACATCATTATAATTCAGCCAATCCCCAAGGAGACAAGTTGCACTACTGTCCAATCGTAGCATGTCATGTTAATATTCTAGAAAGTCCCATCAGGTTCTGATTGGCTGGAAACTCTTAGGCTCCTTTAGGGACTCTAGAGGCTCCATCAGTCTTCTCCAGAGCCGTCCTAACTTATTCTGTGGTATATAGTTTTATTAAAAACTGCCTTCTTCAAACATCATTGATTGTAGTCTTGCCTCATTACCATATTCGTTTCATTTTCTTTGTTTTGCATGTACTTTACTAATTCGTGGCAAAATCCTTTTCATCCCGTATGCATGTTTTTTTCTTTAAATACTAAAATTTATTTAACCATCACTTGGCATTTTGGCTGCTGTTTGTTGATGTCTGTTGAGTTAAACACTAAATTTCATTGATTTTTTAGCTGATAATACATACTGTTCCCATATGATCTGACCTTTTTTATGCTCAATATTCACGTCATAATTCGAGTAAGCTACCAAACGCTTGTTGTGTCGGTTACTATTTTAAGGTCACAGCTTGCTCTAGCTTCTGGACTAGCCAATTTACTCATTCATCTTGAGTCACCTTTTGACCTTGTTAATTATTCGCCTATCAACCTTGACTTTTTATATGAGCGTATTTGTGCATTTCTTATCTTACTCACCACATGTCTTATTTTTATCTGACTATAAATATCTATTAATGCTTGGTTAAATTGAGTTGGCTCACACACATTCTCCAGTGCACATCATTTCACTTCTCTCCGCTTCCTTCACTTCGTGCTTCGGATTATCTCTCCAAACCAACGAGTGTACAAAATGTATGTCTTCAAAAATCCATTCTCGTATTTGACTTATTTAATCCCGTTATTTACTAACTCGGATTAAGTCGATAATTATGTACGAGGATTGGCGACATGTATATCTCAATGGCAATCAGAAACAATTCAACTGGAGTCAAATATAGAGCATTCAAACACTTTAGATTATAACATTTGTTACATAGATTACGAATTGGTATATACTGAAATCGTTTTTTACTTTAATGCCATACGTTTTATGAAATTTAGGAGATTAAACAACTCATTAGTAAGTAAATTTGTCATTCTGCCATACAAATCTAATTATTTTGATCTTCTGCGTGGAAGTTACGTACTTTATTTTTGTTTCCCGATTATCACAAAGTTCATATTTGATGTTGTACAATTTTTTTATTATTTTATTCTTACCGTCTGTCTGTGATATACAAATAGTTGAATATAATATATCATATCCAAAAGTTATTTCTTTTGTATAATAAATGTTAGTATTCGAGTTTATTATATGATATTAGTTATTTTGTGTTGCTTTTCATTAACTTTCAGTTCAGCGTTCGAGACTTCTTGGGGAAGCAAGTGAGTTGGAAGACTGTGGTCCTGGACATTCATTTTGGTCTTATTTATTCGGAAATCCAACATCATCCAAACATCAAATTTGTGGTCGAAACGATGATCTACTCATAACAGAACTTCAGCTTTTTGATGACATCGAAAGAGATTTAATGCTCACTCTGTCACCTAACTCAACAGATTCTAAATACTATTCGAAATTCAATGAATCCAAAAGCTCTTTTCATGTAACTTGGCCACCTGTGATAGAATTATCCTAAATTATCATCTAATGAGGTTTACTACTACAATTTTTCATCTTTCATGAGGTGGTTCATGTCACCGTGTGTTGAAGGTGATACTTCGTTATGAACCATTTCACTGTGTATGTGATACTCTCATTTCCCATTAGGAATTACTATTATCCAGTTTTAACCCAAGTGCTAATACATTCATTTATCTATGTTCTAATAGTATTTTCTTGTGTGACATTCAATGATAATATTACACTTGTGATCCGTTTTATTCGTGATTTAATTTTTTGGGTGGATGGTTAATTGTAATATGTGTAATTTATGTTTTCATTTATCTTCTGTTTATATATAAACAACTGTGTATATGTGACCTTTTTGGATATGCTCCTGACTTTCTATATTCTTTATTCCTTATTTTTGTGGTTTACTTCTATGGAAGACATGAATCGTACTTGTAAACCTATTTATTAGCATGACTTTCATCCACTTAAATTTTTAACTCCATAATATGATTGTACTTTTTCATCAATCTACTGTGTGAATTTGGGTTTTTGAAACAAATCGGTCATGCCCATTCTCCGAAAAATAAATAGTATTCAACTTAATAATATTTTCACTGTCAGATTTTGTATATGTTTATTTTTGCATTTACCTTATGGAGTAATAAGTCTTTTGTATTATTATTTACTAACATATATTATTCTCTTTTCTGTGTGTAAGAAAACAAATGGAACTGTTGTGCTACGCTTTTCGCACATATACATCAAGCTCTGTTAGTCTTTTACTCACTTCCTTGTAATTGCTTTAATTTCTGGTTGTTTGATTTAAAATATATTTTGTCAGGACACTAAGATTTTTAGCTTATAAAAATGGTTAAGTTCCTATTTGTACGAAATTAAATTTTAAGGTTAATGACCAAGTCGGTGTTGGAATTCCCCATTTTTGTGTGCAAAATTTAAAAACTCAAAAATCAACTGTTTTGTTGTTTTCGAATGAGTAACTTTACATTATGTTAACTGTCAGTTCACACTCGTGATGAGTTTCTATACGAACACTCTGAAAACCGAGTTTTGTTATACAATCTCTTTCATCATTAGTACATTCCAATACTCAAGTAAACATAAGAGGACGTCACTTATTTGTAGGACATTAGTGGAAACTTTCTTTGTTAGACTCTGTTTACTTTGGTTTTAGTAGTACTGAAGGCAACCTATCTCAGATCTTTTTCTTACCATTCAGGTTCTTAACACAATACAGCCTGACCTATTATCGAGGTTGGTCTTGCACAACCACTCAGATTCTGAGGGTTTGGTATTTTCTGGTGTTTTTGGTAGGTTGTTTGCTCTTTTATATTCTTTAACTAGAAGTTGTTTTTGAGGCCTAAACGAATCTGTCATGGCTTTTATCATTTACGAAGTCGAACGGACTATTAAGTCATCAAACTATTCAAACTTTGTATAATTGAACAACCGGGTTCATATATGAAAAAACACTATAATTAATACTCACTTTCTGTCATGCCAACTGGTTAGACAGGGATTGTTGAAATTTTGTTAAATATAAGTTAAGTGAACGTGCAGACTCACAATTATGCAGAGATTAGATGAATTATCAAATATTGCGCGCAATATTTAAATATAGGCGATAACGAGTAAATGTTGGAGGTTTTCAATATAAATGAATGAACATGTTGAGTTTGTTCGAAACATGTGGCAGCTAGGACACTCAGAGTACTATTTTTGATACAAAGAAACATCTGTTTATTTCTTCGCCTTTTCATCTTTAATATGTTCATACTGCAAACGTTTTGTCGTTATAAAAGGAACACAGAATCATATGTTCCAAATTTCTGAAGTAAACTCCTAACCAAATTTCACAGTTGAGTTGATGTCTTGTTATTTCTCTCAATATCACTTTTTAGAACCATAATATGTGCGACTCAACTACTTCGTATCATACACTGATTAAAATGGCAAGAACAGTAATTTAGTAAGATTGTGTGGTAATAGTCTTATAAACAATATGTATCGAATAATATGCCTTGAGAAATAAATCGTATGATCAATTTGCATCCCCGAAACCCGTTACAGTCAGGCTATAAAAAAAATAATAATTACAGAATATATTAAAACTACAAACGAGTTGCTTGTTTAAAGGAGTACACTTTTGTCCTTATGAACAGTTCGACTTAGCTCACTCTAAGGTAAATTATTAAAATCATAAGATAATAAATTAACAACGTTGGGGATCTTAAATGTTAATCACTTGTCAAAATTAATAAACTTTTATAGAAACTCAAATCAACAAATATCAAACGGTGGTGAATCAGTTTGGCAGTCACAAGGATCAAAATTCAACGGAGACAAAATTTAAAACGAATCAGGAAATAACAAGAAATAAAAGGGATGAAACTGCAAGTACATATGAGAAAAAATCTTCCTATAGCAAATATCAAACATAATATTCAAAAACAAATTAATGTTTCTTTTTTGCAAGGGTAAGTTAAAAGTCACTCCCTGTTCAAAACCATCGCACTTTAGCACACGCAATCTTTAAGGGCTGGAGTGGTGGCGGGCATTCTATATGTGGATAGTGCTAAGTAGTTTGCCCGACTGTGTGCAGCCTTGATTTTATACGTGGATTTGGAAAAGCTGAATAACTTTTAAAACATTCTTGTTCACGGATCACATCAACTACTGATTATCTCTTTGTACTCTGAATTGTTTTGGTGTTTCCTACATAAGGCTAATGGCAGAACCATTGCATCAACTAGACCTAACACGCCTTCAGTGGGCCTGTACGTTATTTTTAGCAGCGACTGCTTTGTCGAATTCTTTCAGTTGGGTTAAATCGAAACGTGGCTTTAAATTTTCAACCAGTTGTTGAAACAGGAACCTTACAAATGCAGATGACAAATATCCATTAAATTAATCAACAAAGTGGGGGAGATCGTAGCGACTGTTGAAACCAATTTTATGTCGTTACTAAACACAATTATAAACCTTTCTGAAATATCAAAGGCAGTAATTTAGGCTTATTGTCAGATATAAATCGGCTACGGTGAAAACCCAGGGGAATTATCTTCTAAACCGTAAACTTAGTGTCAACATTTTCAGCCTAAACGTAGCGAGTTCGGTTTACTTGGCAGCTTGAAGTGTAACTGGAGAAGTTTTTCGACCTAGTACAGTTATTTTCCGAGGAACGATACTAAGTGCCGCACCGGTATTCATCAAGAAATACAGGCCTGAATTTCTGTCTTCAACATAAAACAAGTGAAAGTTTAGGTACTTTTCCTCGGTCACCGTGACTTGTGAATGGGTTGTTCGTTTCCCATATTCTTCGGAATCTGTCTACGTCAGGTGCATCTTCGTTTGTATCTTGTTGATTTGGCACCAGACGTCCAGTGTTGCCAACAAAACTATCCACACTGTTCGAACGTTTTTGACCTGCTCTGTGACTTGTATCGTGATCGTTGTGGTGATCTGCTCCTTTTTCTATGATCTATTCAAATGTATGGATCTTATCTTATCCATAACCCGATCTACAAACTGAGAAACAACTCATGTACACTGCTTATAGTAAAACACCGAAAACCAATGAGTTGTAAGTTTTTTACAGTGCGTCATAATTTATTATTGAGTAGGTTGACAATACCGATCTGTAACTGTGACGCTATCACCAGGTTCAAAAGACTGATTGCACTATAACTTGACACTAAAGAGCTTCATCAACTATGCGCTGAAATTCCGCCCAACAATGAGGCACTTTTTTAACTGCCTAGTATCTAGACAGATCATGAATATAACGGACCCTAATCGTCATTAAATGAATATAACTAAATGATAGAACAAATGGTTTACCTTCTCCCATTATTCATTGTTTATTGGTTATGCCCCTACGCTCCTACTTTCCAGATTAAGATACCGAATCTCTCTAATGATTAAAATTGCATTATTCTCCCTGAATATCATGTCCTTTTTTCTACTACAAGCAGACAGATAACTCATTAATCTTATCGATGTTGATCAACTATGGTCGATCATAAGAAGCTCATAATATCCTAGGTTCTCGTGAGCCGCTAAATGTTTTGTTTTCTTACTCCGAAAATTATACAATTCTAAACTCTTGCGAATTCTTTGATTTGCTATTTATCTTTACCGTCTCTAAACTACATAATCTGGCCTGTTTTATTACTTATACCATTATTTATCTTCAAAGCAGTGTGATATACTAAATGGATATCTAACCCACAATACAGAAGCTTCGACCATCTGATTTACTTGTAACATGGGACTAGTAGAAACAGTTTATTGCAAAAAGGAGCTTAAATAAAATTAATATTCATACACACCATAAACGTAAGAAAGCCTAACACCACAAAAGGAGGTAGGTTGGCGCTACCGAAAAGCAAACATGATGGCGGGGAGTAACCTCGATCCACCTATGTCTGTAGAACAGAATATTTTGTTTAATTACGGCTCATTATTCAAGTCGGATGTCACGAACCAGTCGTTTTGATAATAATGCAACGGTAAATAAATCCCCAAAATAAGTAGCTCTGTAAGTTTTCGACATTGGATGCCGACCACATGTTTTAATGGACTCACTTAGCTAAAGGCGCTCGGTCATACATCCACACCATATCACGAGTGGGAACGCCGTTCTCAACATCACCTTCAATCGCTAGCCAGATTAGATCAGACGATCCTCGATATATTATTAGCTTATGAAATATATCTTTGAACCTCCTCGCTTCTGTCTTTTGATTGCACTTAGTGGGTGCGATTCATAGTAGAAATTGTTACTTGTTAAAGCGTTGTCAAACGCCAAATACCCATGGCATCTTCAATAATTTATTATGCAAGGTACATATTTAAGTCGTGTTTGTGACGTTAAATTGGTCTCACTTGCTATAGAGTAATCCTATTTACAAGCGAAAATATACAAATTGCCAAAAACGAAGCCTGTTCATGACCCTATAAAATCAACAAAAATAAAATAAACTGAAATGGCTTCGACAAAAAAGG